CAGCGCCTCCAAGAGCAGCCGCATGCCGGTTTGCTGCGCCTCAAACAATGCGCGCCATCAGTCTTCTGGTGGTGTCCGTAGATCTTCATTTTGTGCCGGCACCGATCCCACTTCTAATGTCGGAGAAAGATTTTTCTCAACGACATCTGTAGTGGTTGAAGACTTCGTAGGCGTCATTTAGGGTAAAGTGCAAGCACAAAACACGATGACCCAACTCGATCCGTCTTCACTTCACGACTATATTCGTAACAACTGTCAAAACGCCTTTTATAAAGATGGTGCCTCGACCCCTCTCAAGCCCACCTGGCTCTGCTCTGATTGGTCGTTACTTAAATTACGATAATAATGTTATTTAGTCTAGGAAAAACGTAACTTATAAAGTAAGATCAAATTAAAAGTTATTAGAAGCTTTTACAATATCAATAAACATTAAAAATTGCACACAATGCGTTAAACAGTAATTCAGTTGACAATGGCTACTTAATAACTTCCTACTTTAAATATATTGTTAGCTGAGGGTGGAACTTAAAAATAATGGTAGGGTGATGTCAATATAAGAGACCGCACCCTCATTTTCGGGCCACACTCGACCACCGAACACTGAAGCCAGCGGAAGCTCTGCCCGTTTGACTAGCCAAAATAATTAATCATTTTAACTCTGATAGTTGATGTTGTATTTTTAAATAATTTTAGTGTTAATTACATTTATTCAATTCTGTTAGTTTTCTTATTAATTCAAAAAGTACTGTAGTAGTGTATAAGAGATTGTTGTTTTAATTTTCCCTGCTTCTGATCCTTAAGATCAGAAGTGGAATAGTGAAACTCCCACGTCCTTGTTTGTACATCCTGATACGATGTGTTTCCATTGTTATTTCTTTAATTGGCTAGTCATACGATCAGAAATATATTTTTGGAAATTGTAACTACAAATTAAAGACATTTTAGATGTTTACAGTCCAGTGTTATATATGAGTTTTGTTAACCCACATTTATTGATAGTTGCCGGTAAGAATAGATGTCTGATGGCATATCAGTTTACTACCGATGGAGATTGGAAATCTGAAATGCTTCAACGGGGTAACTGCTATTTGGGATCACAGGAAATATTAAATGATATACAAGGTAAGTTTTTTATACTATATTTTAATAGATCTTGAAATATATATATTGGTTTGAGAATATTTGGCAGCAGCATAATAATACAAAAATTAGTCTTTTTTATGTTCAATTCTGTGTTATTCAGTCTCGTATTCTGCTATGATTTTATTAGTATACTTAAAAATTAACAGGGCATAGGTTTTAGTGAAATTTGGATTTATCTGATGACGTCATAAAAATATTAAAACTTTTTTCGCTTTATTTCATGTTAATTTACTTTTAATATGTTGTATTTTAAGGTTTTAAGAAGAAAATCAGCCCCGAGAAATTATCAGCATCCAGTAGCGATGCTAGTATAAGTTCTAGAGATCGTATTTGTAAATTTTAATGTAAGTATTTGAAAATGTTAATGACAAAAAAAATAATTTACATTATTATCCCAATATAGTTTATTTTAGTTTGGTGTTGCTATATAATAACTATATTGGGACAATAATCTAAATTATAATGAGAGCAATACTTAAATAAACTATATTGGGTACCCTTTGTTCGGTATTAGATAATGATTCACTGTCCAAAATGTGGCTTACATCATTTTTAAGTTGTAATAACCTATAATTATGTAGTCATTTATCTTTTCCTACATTTTTAATTTTACGTTATATTATTTTTTTTAGTTGCAAAGAAGGTTCAAAGAAGAAAGAAATTTTGGTTTGCATAAAATTATCCGGTGTGAATGCGAAGAAACTTTGTTGTGACGAGAAGTTTTCTTGTTTTGGAACAGTTGATCATCCCGGACACATTCATATCATGAATTTAATGCACGCAAACACGTAGCATCTCATCCAAGGAGGTTTCATATTTTTATGGACCTCTTTACAGTGTTGAAGAAAAAGAAGTCAATGCAAACGCCATTTAAGTCGTAACTACGTGTCACTGCCATGTTTTTTCTATTTTAATTAATTTTTATTTTAAATAATAGCTTGAACATGATTATGTCCAGGAATTGTGTGCACGCGATGCACATGAAAAATGCAAAATTCAGTACATATAATAGTTTTACGTAACGCAATAATGATACAACGAAAAACGAATTCTAAATATCAAAAAATTGTTTATATTTTTAATAATAGTATAATTTAAAAATAATTTGATTTTCTAAGTTCGAACAATTTAGTTTTTAAACTATATAACATGATAAATAAATTGCTATATTTTATTTTTGAAATACAAATTTAAGGTGCCCTAAATAAAATTAATGATCTGTCACAAATTTAACTGCCATAAATCTACCAAATGTGTAAAATTTACAAGTCTTTTTCAGTAGCTTTCTTTTATATTGAACAAAGAGTATATAAAATACTAAATGCTACCTTAAAAATATATTTGAACTTCAATAAGCAATTTGTCAATAGTATTGGAGTTTCAATTTTAATTTTATTCAACATTTGACATTGGCAGTTCTTTTGTGTTGTCTGTGGCATGAAGACCTGTCCTCATTTATTTTCTTTTAACATACGTAAACATTAAGATGGGTTAGAATTGTTGTTTACATAAAACAGGATTGAATTTTATAAAAATCAAGTAATCTTAGAGCATTATTAAAAATGGAAGAAGATAAATTTGCTTTAGTAGAGAAAATAATCAAAGATATTTATGCAGTATTTTCTAGAATTGCTGAGTTGTAAGTATTTGCAAATTGGCAACCATTCAATTGATTTTTACTTTGTTTCTACACAATATAAATTTATTCATCATCGTCTTTATTTTCAGACGTTCCTTTGATATTGTTCCTGTTGATACAAACTTCAGAAACAAGTCACCCGTTCTGTATTTAGAAAATTGTCTCGGTTTAGAGTCGTGGTGTATCAAACATGTTTATATGTATTGCTATTCTGAAATCATGGATAGATATTGTCATAAGGGAAGACGTAAAGTATTCAAGGTGTCATCAGTGAATGCCGATCGTATGATTAAGTTACTGAATGTAACACTTTTGCTTAATCCCGACTTAAGTACTTTATGGAACAAACGTCGTATGCTAGTAGAGAAATCTATGTTGGATAATTACAACGAATTACATTTTACAAGATTAGTAATATCGAGAAAACCAAAATGTAATGATGCCTTCGCTTACAGGAGATGGCTTCTGGATATTATATTTGCAGGTATGACAGTATAAGTTGCTATAAAGCTTAAGCCAAGACAGCTAATGCTTCTGTGTCTAACTGCCATAATTCAAATCAGTACCTTAGTTTGTATTATTCTTAATAAATCTAGACAATTAATGACCATTAAACAACTGAGTGAGGCAATAACTGAAGGGTAAACATTCTTAGTATTTTCCACTAGTATTCTAACTTAGAATTGAATAGTTTTTTTTCTTGCAGATAAGTCATTGCAAATAACCAGTATTAGAGATATTATAAATGAAGAATTAAACATTTGTACTCAAGCATCAGATAGAAGTCCAAATAATTATCACAGTTGGAATCATCGTATGTGGTTTGTAAACAAATTAAAGACATTAGAAAATCCTTTATTTGATATTTACAATCAATATATAAAAGAATATAATTTTTCTGAGCAATGGACGGCTAAGAATGTGTCCGATTACAGTTGTTTTCATTACCGACAATTTTGTATAAGGAATCATTATTTACTGAATGAAGAATCATGGAAGAAATTCACAACAAACCTTAACCTAAGGAAAGTTCTTGTGAAGATTTTAGCCGGCAATTTTCCAATTGATTCAACTGTACAAGTATCTGAAGAAAACTTGTTAGCATATTCTGAAAGTAATTTAGTTAATTTATTATTATATCATACGGTTAAGAACTGTTCTTGCGTTTTAGACAATGTTTACATATGCCGTAAATTAGAAATAATTTTCCATGAATTGGCTGTTAATAATGAATTAATTCGGTTTTATAAACACCATGAAACATTGTGGTATCATAGAAGATTTATTGTGCATGAAATTATTGAAATTATTTATGAACACTTTTGTTTGACAAAGAGTAACGGTGTTCTGGTTAGAAATACATGTAAGAAATGTACTTACGATGAAGAGAGACAGAAGCAAGCAAAGATAGTTAGGTATGACACAAATTGTATGTACTCAAGCGTTCTCTTCAATGTAATGTTGACACATGAGAAGAAGTTCATAGAAGAAATGAGAACTAATTTAGACAACTATGCAGATCGACATGAAAAGTATCTTAAATTTGTTGAAGGCTTACACCATGTTATGTGAAAAGGTATTCCATAATTTAAGTTCTAAACATGTTTTAATACAATTTAATATATGTATCAATAAACTAAATAACTTTAACAAGTTTTATTGCAGAAAGTCTTATAAAAAATTGTATTGCTGCCTAACAAATTATTTTTTTGAAAAAGAAAGAACAAAATTACAACCCAACTGATTAGAGGGTAATCAAGTGCGTATGTACGTTTGTTTTTATATAATTGGGTGCATATGTATGTAAATTTCATCAACTAAAGCCTAAAAGACTGGACCGATTTGGAAGAGGGATGTGTTATTTTTAAACGCAGCTAATAGATGGCGCTATACCATCCATTAGAGCCGCGGGTTTCTTGTTTTTTTTTAACATAATGTTAGGTTATTGCACATTTGTTTTGGTAGTAAACACCCACAGTATGAAAAACTAATTGAATGAAAAGATTTGCTTGATTATTTTTAATGTTTATGCATTAGATATGTTTTAATCTTCAATTACTTTGAGGAAGATAAAGCTCAGCCTTTAAGGGTTGCTGCACATGGGCCATTCGCGACAATCACAAAACCCCCCTACTGTCATACTTCCTATTAATATATGAAACATTTTATGGACGCCACAAATCGTCGCTGCTCGTTTTTTGTTGCAGCGTTTGTGGCTGTCGCTTGGCCCATGTAAGGCAACCCTTTGGAACTTATTTTAAGGTTATTTTTATTTTTTTTATGTTATACTCCTATTTAAAAACATACATACCTAAAAGGGAATGATAATAAAGTTATTTACTTCTTTGTATTTAAAGCAAAAAGTTGTTTTGTTTATTCTTGCCACATAAATTTTACTATTTATTGTATGTATAATATATGTATAGAACACAGCTAGGTTGCATCTTATATTAAAGTTTAGTGTATTGGAGCGCCCGTGGTGGAGTTGTTAAACGCTTCACGAGATTGGGTTGAAATTCACACGTTCAGGTTCGATCCCTTCATGTAACAATACGTTTTACGATTTTCAAATTTCAAAAACGACAACGTTCTTACGGTGAAGGAAAACATTGTGGTTCAAAGATATGACGTGGTGTGTGGTGTGGTTGACAAAGGCCTAGTCATCCATAACTAGGGTAGGCTTCGAGCCCCTCGTTGGGGTCATATTTTGAGTTGACAACGACGTAACACTGACAGTGGAAGATAATTTAAATGGATAATATGTGTAGCACATTTTCTACTTTTGATAATTTCTACTATAGCAAGTATTAAAATTGTTGTTGTAAAAAACACAAAAACTATCATCTTTTTCCAGTTAATCAAATAATAAAATTTTCATGTCCATTAAGTTATCGCTTAGTAGATGTACCCGGCAGCGCATCGCCACAACGAACGCGCGGTTTTAACGCGTTTACAACGGGGTAACTACGTACAATTTGGGATACAATACGGGATTAAAGACTACCGTCGCGTCGAGGCGGTGTCAAGTTGTGCTATTGAGCACTTTTATAAAAAAGAAAACAACAATTTGAGCGAAGTTTTGTGTGAATAACCGTGTGTTTCTGAGACAAAAATTCTCGTTTGAAACATATTGTCATCTCTGTCTTGTCAAAGATAATAATAGGGACGATAATATGTTTTATACAGAGATTTAGATCTAAGAAATCAACGTTAAGTCATAGTAAAAACAATTCAATCTGTATTTGTGATTTTATTATATTTTTTATAGACTGAATGTAATGATTATGTGTATAGTAATATGAATAATATAACAATCAGTAGTTTCTGTTTTCCTTACATATGTATAATCTATAAAAAGACATTTATATACTTTAATAAATACATGCTGCCAATATTGTGTTTGATTTTTAATACATCGGTTTTGGATCAAAAGTTATGTGTCGGACTTTAAACCTATAGTTTCAGGCAAGTGTACCAATTATCAATGTACCTAGGTTGTTTCATTTTTCGTGAAAAAAAATTATATTGAATACAGGAAGTCGCTATTTATTTTGGTTTACTTTGCTCGTACTTTTAAACTATCTTCATAAACCGGGTGCTGGGAAATTGAAGTAACCGAGCTGGTAACAAGTCTTTGAGGTAAATCGTTCAAAAATAATTAAAGTTTTCTTTTCTGCTAAGTGACTAGGTTTATTTCGCTTCTTTTATAATAATTCTAGCCCATTCTTACGAGTTATGAAAGGGATGATCTGTTGCTAGGGATGAGAACATTATTTTTCACGAAACAATTTAGCTAAGCAATATAAATTAATTTATTTGCATTCTCTTTTATGTCCTAAAAGATGGGCCGAGATTTTTGGTTTCTAATAAGTGCGATCTTGGTAACCATCCCTTTTTCTCGTCCGATACTTTGTTAACTTTAAGTTGGTGAACATGAACCTAATAAAAATATTTTGTTTTAAAGTTCTTTAAGTCTGTAGTTTTTACAAAAAGTGTTGTAATCAAGTATTCACGATAAATGATTGATTTTTCCGGGGCTATTAGCCTCACATCGACAAGGTAACGGTCGGTGTGTTTAATGTGGGTCAGGAGACACGGCGGTACACTGACTACGGCTAGTGGACCTAGCCAACTAGATCGATTGTATTCAATAAATTAAGAAATTCGATTATGAACTTAACGGTTTGGTTTTAAGGTACATATTTGTATGTGCTCCAGTCGAGCACATACTTGAACATCGGTCGAGGGTAGTCGCCAGTGACGTCACGACAGTGTCGCGTTCGCGCGCTCCTCTGGATCGATATTTGAATTCCGGTTCGTAGATTTCCGTTGGCGGTCGGGAAATGCCGAGTGACGCCGACACCACGTGTATGTTACGTAACACCGATATACAACAGCTCATTGACAGGGATGTTTTCTATTATAAAGATGAAATAAAGAATTAGTTATAGAAGCGCTTA